ATATTTTGTTGCATTTAGCTATTGCTTTGCTACTTTTAGCTTTTATTTAGCTTTTAACCTTTTGCTGCATTTAGCTAGTGGTTTGCTACTTTTAGCTTTTATTTAACTCTTAGTTAACATTTTGCTGCATTTAGCTAGTGCTTTGCTACTTTTAGCTTTTATTTAGCTCTTTGTAAACATTTTGCTGCATTTATTGAGTGGTTTGCTACTTTTAGCTTTTATGTAGCTCTTTGTTAACCATTTGCTGCATTTAGCTAGTGGTTTGCTACTTTTAGCTTTTATGTAGCTCTTCGTTAACCTTTTGCTGCATTTAGCTAGTGCTTTGCTACTTTTAGCTTTTATTTAGCTCTTTGTAAACATTTTGCTGCATTTATTGAGTGGTTTGCTACTTTTAGCTTTTATGTAGCTTTTCGTTAACCTTTTGCTGCATTTAGCTAGTGGTTTTCAACTTTTAGCTTTTATTTAGCATTTTGCTAATTTCGGGTGATATTTGTTTTTATACTTGGTCTTTTGCTACTTTTAGCATTTAGCGAGAGTTTTTCTTTTCTCCTTTAGGTAGTGATCTGCATCTTTTAGATTTCACAACTCAGTTCTGCCTTCATCATCAAATTTCAGCAGTCTTCCTCCAGCTCTCAGGATCAAGTTTCAAATTTTTCTCAATTCACTGTTTCCCCGTTAGATTCCCAGAGAGAGGAAATGCACGTCCGGTGGTGCTGCTGACACGCCTGCTGCTGCGCCTCATAACTACAGCAGTCAGGACGTGCTGGATCCCAGCTGTCCAGTACTGAGGTCCATGCCAGTCAACCTCTCTCTCAACAACAGCGTCGCTGCAGAACATCCCAGCTCCAGGCAGGGAGCTGCGGGCCTCGCAGGAGATCCCAGAGGAGGAGGTGGGAAAGGTGGGGGCAGCGCTCCTCTTGCTCTGGTCAAATCGGAAGATCAAGCCTCCGTGGCAGTGTCTTGTTCCGGTGCTTCTTATCAAGAAGAACCTAAAGGGCACCTGAGGATGGTTTACGAGCAGAGCCGCTATGATTTGGGTCTCAGCGGGTACTTGAAAGATGAACAGAGCAGCACTCCAGACAGCACCTATGAGGGCTCTGTGGAAGAAGAGGTTAGTGCTGCGTGTAGAGCCTGACTGCTATGGACATTTGGTCTGTCATCGATATTGGGAGGGGAAGCCTGATGCCGATAAACAACATAATGGCTGAAAAATTTTAAGCTTTGTCCATCCCCAATAATTAATTAAACAGCTACTTTTAAACCACTTGAATTCTTGAAACAGTCTTCCTAACGTGCGTTCACATTTTCTATCCTCCACTAGTCACCATAAAGTTATCAAGTGTGTTACATAAATGTAAATTAAAGAGAGAAACCCTTCCTGTTCTTTGTTTAAACAGTCGGTCACGTGAAGGTCTAATTAGTACTGACAGCAGCAACGTTTAGTTTTCTTTGTAGAGAAGTAAAGATTTCAGACAAACAATGCATTTCTTTGAAGACGACAAAGATAATGTTACTAACACTGATATATATTTACCTCGACATTAGAGTTATTGTTCTGGATCAAGTTTTACAAGGTAATAGTTTATGCTAGGTTATCTGAACATTAGCTTGCTAACTTGAGAGACACGTAGCTAATGACCAGCAGGTTGGAGGATTGAAGAGAATTCATTATTGTTGATTTTTTTTATTTGACAGATCCGTTCTAATCAACTCATCATTCTCTGTTCAGAGAAACAAGCTACACAGTATTGCTCGCTGCTTCGGCTGTGCTGAAACTGAAAGTTAAAGTGAACGGCCATGACTTGAAAGGAGTCCACATGCGCCCTCTGCTGGATACATTGGACAGTTACGGCTTTTCCCAGCATTTTAGGTGTAAAAATTAGAAGTGTTTATATTGGCGCATAATGGGACAATGATCACAGATAATGACCCCAAACGCCTTTATCGGCCCAAAATATCGGTCCTCCAGATGTATCGGTCAGGCTCTAGTTATGTGTTACAGCGTTGTGTTTTGCTGTGGAGTCTGGGTCACATACAATTTATCTCCCCCCCACCTACTGCATGTGTTCATTTACATTTTTAATACTCCTTTCACAGATTTACCAAAGAAGGTCTTCCTCGGGAGCTGATCCCTTCATCTATAATCTACCAGTGTAAGTTAGCATTCAGATACGCAGCTAATAAATGTGCAAAGTAAAGTGAAACCGTGACATGTGCAGCCAATGCTGCGGTACAAGAGGATGAATAAACTAGAAAAACAGAATATTCTGTGATAGTGCAGCATGAGTGCTGAGTGCATGACTGCTGAAATTTGCTGAAGAAGCTAAAACTGAATGGATAAAGTTAGAACAAACGGAACAGAGGCTAAAATGAGCTGAACTAAATGTGAAAATCTGCAATTAGCAGAACACAAGTATAAAGCAGAAGAGCACAAGCTAAATGTAGCAGAACAGTAGCTATAAGCTAAAATGAGCAAAACGGTAGCTAAAAGTAGCAAAAGAGAAGGTAAATTAAAATGGGCAATACTGGAACTAAATGGTAACTAAAAGATTAATAAAAGTTGCACAACAATAGCTAAAAACTAAAAGTAGCAGAAGAGGCCAAAAGGGACCACTATGCTGAAGGGATTTCACGTGGAACAATGTTTTAGAAGAAATTAAAAAGAGCTCAATGGAGTTTGATGGATGGATTTATTTTAAATGAATGTAGTTTTTTTCAAAGTACAAAAATCATCCAAAACTAAGAGTCATCGTGTATTCCTAATCAACTAATGCTGGATATTTGATGTATAAATGGTTAAAATAGTGTCGATGTAATTTGATTGCAAAACAAAAATAACATAATTTTGTGTTGGTTTTTGTTTTTACCATTTAATGAGATGAAAGATTAAAACAAACACTTATTTATTTATTTATTTTTTCTCAACTTGTTAACATTTATTAATTGTGTGAATCAGTAAGGTTTCTTTGTTTCTGATGTTCTTCTCACACATTTTGCAGTTCAATTACTTCTTCATACTTCGTGTTATTTTAGCTGTTTATACAGCAAATGCAAGAGTTGGCGGTTCAATTCCAGCAGCAGTCACATGCTGAAGTGTCCCTGGGCAAGACACTGAACCCCTCACTGCCTCCGATGTGTGTCCCACAGTGTATGGATGTGATAAAGCTCTGATTATTCTCTGTACAGATCTAGTAGAGTTCTGTATGAGTGGGTCAATGAGGCACAGATTGTTGTAAACAGCTTTGAGTGTCTCGATAAGACAGAAAGATGTAGAAGTACAGACCATTCACCATTTATCCAAGCATTCAGCTCATACACGAGATGGATGCTGTGACTTTGGTTTTTTGGAAATTCGTATTTCAAAATATTTAACTTTACAAACATTTCCCCCCAAATTACACTGACATTTCTTCAGCTCCTTCAAAACCGTTGTTCTTCGAATTCTGCTTCAGCTAATTAGCTCTATTTGAGTCTTGTTGTCCTACTTACTGTACTACTCTTTCTCGATGTTGACCTTTAGCTAGCTTTATACTTTGTTTGACTTTTAGCTAGCCTTTTTATACATTTAGCTTTTGGTTGGCTTTTGTTCCACTTTTAGCTGACATTTTGCTACTTATTCTTTATTAACATTTTTATACTTTTAGCTACTTTTTTAAAAATTTAGCTGTACCTGTAATACCTTTTAGCTACACTGTTGCTACTTGTAGCTTCTAGCTAGACTCTTACTGCTTTCAGTTACCACTTTGCTAGTTTTAGCTTGGTGTTGGTGTGTTTGGCTTTCAGCCAGGGTTTAGCTCAGTTTAGCTAGTGTTTAACGCCTAGCTTTAGTAGCCCAGTTTCAGCTTCTTCAGCGGAGTCGTTCAGCACTGGACGTTCACCCTGCAGTTCTGGAGAAACTGTGATTCCTCTGCTTTTACTGTAAACGTTTAAGACCTGTCGGATGTTCCTGCATGTGCTTCTGACCTTAGTGACGGTTTCAAGTACAGCCTGGAGGCCAGCATGTCTCTGCGGCTGCGGCAGGCAGACGGTCCGATGGCCTACCTGAACCGAGGCCAGTTCTACGCTCTGACGCTCACCGAGGCGGGCTTCAGCTCGTCCCTCTGTCAGCGCAGAGATGGAGAGTGGCTGAATGGAGCCACACTATCGCAGGGGCATGATGGGAACTCATCCAGCAGGGCTGCGGGAGGCTCCGACCTGCAGCAGAACAGTGTCGTACAGGTGAGGGTGGTGGTGGTGGTGGTGCATGCAGAGGCTCAGGTTTGAAACTGGAACCTTTCTGCTCTAATACCTGAATGTCTCCTGCATGTGCAGAGTGTCATCATGGTTGTTTTTGGAGAGGACAAGTCCAGAGATGAGCAGCTAAAGAACTGGAAATACTGGCACTCTCGCCAGCACACTGCCAAGCAGAGGGTCCTGGACATTGGTGAGCTGCTGTGTTGCTGTCTTCCACCACAGAAAGGGGAAGGGTGATGATGTTTTTGCTGTGTTGGTGTTTGTTTGCATCGGGGGGACCAAGATGGTGGAGAGGTAGGGCAGCCGATTTGGGATCAGAAAGTCGCAGTTTGACCCCCCGCCATGCCCACATGTGGGGTCCTTGAACAAGACACTCAATCCCTAACTGCTCCCCAGGCACCTACGTAGCTGCCCACTGCTCCACCGGGGTGTACCTCAGGTGTGCTGGGTTAAATGCAGACAACTAATTTCTTCATCGTATGGGAACATTCAGTGATGACAACACACAGCACTTACTTACTCATTAGCAACACGTGTAATGAATCCTGGATCAGATTCTAACGCAACTTTGAGAAAGGGATCAGTGGTACGACGCCTGCAGCTGACTAACCTTTGGACATGGTAATAAAAACTGTCTATCAAAGCTGCTTGTCCTTTAGAAAACACAAAAGTGACTATAAATGATTACAGATGCTGAGCTGAAGCTCTGTGTTAGTAGCTGAAGGTCATTCACAACACATACTCCGAGCCCTAACAGGTCACAGGATCACTTCTGATTACACAGTTAATTTTGAGGTTTGAACGCCGTTCCTTCCCGTCACCAGATGATCTTGGCTCCACATTTTGTAGTGAAAGGCAGTGGCTGACATGCATTCCTTTAAGGAACACCTGGCCTTTAGTTTCTGTTTTCCTCCACCTGTAAACAAACGCAGCAGATGGCTTATAGGTACTATTGAGTGTCACTTTTTAAATGGACGTGTTCACCTGAGCCCCACACACTCATTAGGGTAACGAGGGGGGAGGGAGCAGGTGGTGAACCTGCAAGGAAATCCCATCACTTATCCTGAGGTGAAACCTGATTCGATTTGAATAACAGTCGATCCTGGATTCCCACAGGAGCGCTGTGAAGAGGAACGGCCACATTTGCATAGACGTTAAGAGGAGGAATAGGCGAATGTCTGGATGGGAGCCATATCCTGTTGGATCAGCCGGAGGCAGGCCTCAACCTGTGCTTTCAAACTCGCAGGAATGAGCCGCTCATGTCAGACTCTACCGGGTCGGAGCGTGTGGCAAGTCCAGACCATTAATGGCACCAGCACTGACTTGCTATAGACCACGTAGGCAAATGAAGATTAATACATGACGAGTGCGTAGGACTTCCATAGTTAGACGTGGGATTGTTGGCTGAAAGGATCAGATGTCAGATTCTGATTTACCTCCAGAAACTGTTAAACAGGTGACACAGAAACAGTTGTTGATCTGATGACACAGGCTGTTTATTTAAAGACAAGTCTTTCTTAAATCAAGCAAGGGGGCGTGGTGGCGCAGAGGTTGGAGAAGGTGGGCCTGTGATCGAAAGGTCGCCGGTTCAACTCCCAGTACCGACAACATCAAAATGTGGGTGGGAATGGTGAAACACCCACACCTGCCTCCATCCTCATCTGTCCCACTCTGAACCCTTGAGCAAGGCCCTTAACCCCCACCATCTGCTCCCCCGGGTGCTCTAGATGGCAACTCTCCGCTCCACACAGAGGGCTGTAGCTCGGTGGTGTGTCGTTGCGTCAGGACCGCCACGATAACAAATTTTGCTGGGTGATTAATTGTCTTGGAAATTATTGCGATAAACGATAATATTGTTTGAAATTTGACAATAATTAATAAATATTGCCAAATTTAAGAAGAAATGTTGGTTAATTTTTTTTTGTGTATAACACCTTTTTTCAACCACTGGATGGCACTATAAGATAGTTTGAACCAAAGGATGGATAGTGAGGGAGCGAGCAGCATGTCTCTCTAAGAAAAATGGGAGGGAGGCCTCTTGACGTGACATGGGCTGTCTCTCCTTCCTTTATTCGGTTCTCAAAATGGCGGATGCTCGGTGAGGTTTGAGCTCTAGAGCATTTTTCACACAAAGCTTTTAATAAAAAAATCATTAAACAGGTTCTCAGCTTCTTTTTGCAGAGAAAAACAACTTTTTACACGAAAGCACAGGTTTCAACCGTGAATTTTGGAGCTTTGACAAGACAGGTTTTTCGCTGCGGTCGGCCTGTTAGCTTAGCTCATAGCTTAGCTCATAGCTTAGCTGTTTTTAATGATCCAAAAACACGATTTTGGACGATTTAAAATGGATTTTAAAGAGAAAAGAGGAAGGGAGGGGTCAGTGAAGAGCACCGGAGTTGAACCTTTTGTCATCCAGTGTCTTCAGTAGAAAGAGAGACATGAAGAAACGATGAAGCCGATAAATGAAAATGAGGTTGATAATTTTCATTCATCATGCGATTAATTGATTTATTGTTTATTGAGACAGGCCTAGTCAGGAAAGGCACCTGGTGTAAAAACTGTTGCCAAGTCTTCATGCGAGTTAGTTCCCTGTGGAGAGCCCTGAAGAAGGGAGCAGATGAAAGAAGAATAAAGTCTTAAATCAAGCGAGCAGAGACAGAATGTTAAATAGGTTTGTTTTTATGTACTGGTACATACTGGTTAAAGATTAAGGTGGATAATGTTTTCACCAGTTGGTGTGTCTGTCTGTGGCTAAAATCCCTCATGAAACTGTACAGCTGACAAATCAAACATCGCTATTACACATAGCTAACTTATTAACATTGCTATTGTGGGATGTAACTGGGAGCCTGTGTACACAATTTCATTCCACCTCATGTACCACATGTGATGTGAATGACAAAGAACCTTGAATCCTTGAATCAAGATGGCTGCCACAGCCAGAAACACAAAAATGTCCATAATTCAGTCGACAGAGATGGACCTAAAGTTTACAAAATCATTTTGTTGATTCTTTTTTATTTTGCTTTTTATGCCAGAGCTTTAAACTAAAATCACCTTTATGCAGACAAATGATGACGTAGCAGTTTTGGTGAGACGTGTAATTCCATGGGGCCATGTTTCGTGATGTGAGAGACGCCACACCGATCTGTGCCATGAAGGACTCTGTGACTGACGCATGCAGTTATCCCTCAGTATCTCTGACTGAGCAGTAGGCATCTCTTTGTTATTTGCTTTGGTTGATTAGCTGTGGCAGCCATCTTGAACTGGATTAACCCCAAAAGGTAAATCAGCTGTAGCTGTACATCCAATGACTACTTTCTGAGTTTCAGTAAAACACGATTAACAGTGAGATATTTTATTAACAGACACAAAGAGCGGACTGGATCATGGTTGATGTTGGCGTTTTAAGCTAAGATCTTGCACAATTAGACGTGCATCATAAAGTTTGTGTTGTGAATTAATCTCAACTACATTTATACCTAAGTTTCTCTTTATCTGTAAAACTGTCTCTGTTATAGTCATTTTTATGTTTGCTAAAGCCAGTTAGCCACGCCAGCCACCATCAAGTGGGTTTGCTACAAAACTTCATCAGTTGTAAAGGTTTATCCACCAATTATTTCCTTAAAATTGCAGTACAATTTGTCCAGTAGTTCATCAAATATTTTGCTAACAGACACAGAAACACAAACATGGATATGGGCAATAAATATTATGCGTTACCTTTTGCTTTCAGTGAAGTGTGATAATTAAATTAAACGTCCGAGTGATATTTGTTTAATCAGATGTTCGTTAGGAAACTTTTCAAGGTCCTTTATTGTCATTCACATCACATGTGGTACATGAGGTGGAATAAAACTAAAACTCAAGCTCCCAATTACACCCAAAAATAACAAAAATATAAAGTATAAAAAGAAACAGTTTACAAGTATCTACGATATATGCTAAACAATAATAATATAAATAATATGGTGTATTAAACAGCAGCCAGAATATGAGTCTGTTGTGAGCAGATGGGTACGAATACAGCAGCTTAATGAAAGAAATCAGCAGCATAGATAATCAGCAGCATGGATAATCAGCAGCATGGATAATCAGCAGCATGGATAATCAGCAGCAAAAAGTGTCAAATGTCCTATTAAAGTGGTATAAAGGGCTAAAAACTGTCAAACATCCATGTATGTAATGATATTTCGATAATAATTAACTGATAAAATATGTTAGCAATGGGGACGCTTTTTTAAGTTGATCACCACTTTTGGATAAGTTGAAGTTTTTGCTGGAGGCATTTCTTAATAGTCAAGTGAAATTTATTTATAAAGCACATTTCCAACAGCAGCTGTTACCAAAGTGCTTGACAATAAGATCAAGGCAGTAAATTAAAGAGAATGATGACAAGATGTGCCGGTAATTTAAAGCATCAAATTAAAATATAATGACAGAAAAACAATGAGAATCAATGAAATACTAAATGAAATGTGTTAAACGTCAGTAATAATAGGAATTTGTCTCTCGGGTAATAAATTCTTCCACAACAATTTCCTGCGGGATCAATAAATATTTATCTTCTCATGTCACATTTGTTCAAGTGTTTTGTTCACTTTTCTCTTGTACACGTTGAGCTGAAATGTTCAAACAGGCACTGACAGGACACTTCCTCCTAACTCCTGCCTGAATCGTGTTCTTCCTGTTTTCTCACGTTGCTTGCAGCTGACTACAAGGAGAGCTTCAGCACCATTGGGAACGTGGAGGAAATCGCCTACAATGCTGTGTCTTTCACCTGGGACGTCAGTGAAGGAGCCAAGGTAACAGTCGAGAGGAGGAACATTGAGTTTGCTCTGTGCTTTTTGTTTGTCGCTTTGAGAAGATTGCTTCACGATGCCAAAAGGTTTAGTTTGGAGAGCTCTTTACGTCCACAGCTGCTCACCAATGAACTGTTGATGCTGCCTAGTTTCAACATCATCATCAGATCACTGTCAGACCCTCCTGTCTTTTCCACAATTCATTGTCTCCTGTGAACAGTGAGGCTGCAAGGAGCAGAGGTCACACAAGTGAAGGACTTCAAGTACTTGGGGTCCACTGTCCAGGAAAATGTGGAATGTCATAAAGAGGTGAACAAGAGTCCAGGCAGGATGGAGTGGATGGAGAAAAGTTTCAGGAGTGATTTGTGACAAAAGGGTGTCAGCAAAGGTGAAAGGAAAAGTTTACAAACAGTGGTGAGACCAGCTATGTTTTATGGTCTGGAGACGGAGACATGGACAAAAAGACAGGAGAAAGAACTGGAAGTGAAGAAATTAAGATGTTGAGGTTCTCCTTAGGAGAGACAAGGATGGAGAAGATCAGGAATGAGATCATCAGAGGTACAGCACAGGTTGAACAACTGGGAGATAAAGTTAGAGAGACCAGACTGAGATGGTGTGGACATGTCCAGATGAGGGACAGTGGTTTGGACATGTCCAGATGAGGGACAGTGATTTGGACATGTCCAGATGAGGGACAGTGGTTTGGACATGTCCAGATGAGGGACAGTGGTTTGGACATGTCCAGATGAGGGACAGTGGGTATACTGGTAGAAGGATGTTAGAAATGCAGCTGCCAGGAAAAAGACAAAGAGGCGCTTCACTGCCTGGCCCAAAAAACAGTCGCCACCAAAAAAAAAAGTCACACTAATATTTTGTTGGACCTCCTTTATCTTTGATTACATCATGCACTCTCTGTGTCATTGTTTTGATAAGCTTCTACAAGGTTACAAGATCTATTTCATCCAGCGTTGCATTAATTTTTCACCAAGCTCTTGTGTTGATGATGGAAGATTCTGACCACTGCACAAAGCCTTCTCCAGCACATCCCAGAGATGCTCAATGGAATTGAGGTCTGGACTCTGTGATGGTCAATCCATGTGTGAAAATCATGTCTCATGCTCCCAGAACCACTCTTTCACAATTCGAGCCCGATGAATCCTGGCGTTGTCATCTTGGAATATGCCTGCACCATCGGGGTAGAAAGGGCTACACAGCTGTTCAGTCCCAATCCCTTGAGTTCCCTTCGCATTGTGCGTGTGGAAATGTTCTTCACCAGACCACCCAGCACCAGACTCGCCCCACCACTGGATGAAGAGCATCTCAGCGTGGCCTCAGCAGAAGTAAGGAGGACCTTCAGGAGGATTAATCCGCACAAGGCAACCGGCCCAGACAACATCCCCTGAAAAGTGTTGAAAGAATGTGCCGATCAGCACATCATCATCATCTTCATCGATTTTGGCCGATACCGATTTTGTTTTATAAGCAACACTGTCAGGAGTTATAAGGTCACAATGCACCTTCTATTTTCCATCTTATTTTATAAAAACATTCCTTTTGAACAGTAACCTAGAAACAATACAAACTTGTTTTAACTGGCCACGAGGTCGTGCTCTGAAATATAAATGAAGTTCAGACAAAAACTAAAAAAATCTGTAAAGCCGGTTTCTCATACAAGTAACATCCGATTTCCCAAAATTAAGGAAATCGGTGCACCCCTAATCTCATGTGTGGTTGGGCCTTAGCTTCATTTGTCTTTGATTTTCTGTGAAGGGGAAATAATCCCGAGGAGCGATGTGACGTCCAGTTTCTGAAGAAGCAACCACAAACGACAACTCTTCATCATCATTCTAAATGAAAACAAGCACCTCAACCTGTCGTTTTCTCTAAAACCATGTTTTTATGGGGTGTCCCTCACTGGGAACGTGTCTTTATGTGACATGTCCAACGTAACAGAGGCCTTACAACTCTTTGATTTATCGTTCGCTGAGACCAAGTCATTCTTCAGTGACAGAGCTGAGGTGCAGTCATTCTGTGTAGATTTACAGCACGATGAATACACAAAGGTGGACGGGTTCATGATCACCCCCCCCCCCCCCCCCACACACACACACAGATTTATGAAGCTAGGTGTGCACACGCTTTGCTTTGAAGTCTAAATGTATTTAAACATGAAGCTGTACGTGTGGACACAAGTCTGATCTGCACAGCAGACACGTCGGTAAATACGTCTGTAAAGGATGGAAGTTACTTCAAGAAAAGCTGAGTCATTGGAGGAAAGACGGCAAACGATTTAAAATTTTATTTTAGTTTTGGATTTGAAATGATAACAAACGTAAAACTGACTGACTCGGATCCATCTTTGTGTTTTAAGGTTGCTTTGTGTGGCGACCATCTTGACTCTGGTATCAGTAGCAGATGTACGTCCAACAACTGGTTTCATAGAGTTTTAGTACAATCTATGTACTGGTCGATGAAATATTTTGCTAACGCTACAGACAAACAAACACAGCAGGCAGAAACATTATCACCCGCCTTCACCTTTCGGCAGCAGGTGATAATGAGACCTGGTCAGCTGACCTGCAGCTGCTAACAGCTGAACCAAGAAAGAACAATGTTCAGAAATATAAGCTCTTTTATTCCTGGAGCAGTTTGACAAAATGAAGACATGCTTGCAGGGAAGTTCGGTTTTGTTTGGGGCTTTTGGCAGAATATCAACTTTTGTTGTTGTTTCCCCTACACCGTCCCTGGCTCCTCATTTGTCACATGACTTTGGGAGCACAGACGCATCTCATTCTTAAATACGAACTTTTGTTTGGCATGTGCTTGGCTGGTTGAGCGACTCTTACTCCGTCAACAAATCCATCATTTCTAAACGTAAGACGATCTTGGTGTAAACCAGATGTGTTGAATGCAGCGGGTGATGTGCATTCCCTCAAGGCTGGCTGGGCCTTGACTTCACAGCTGACTTTGCTCTAACCAACTCTTGTTGTTTGTGTTGTTGAGAAATAATTGCTAGTGCCTTGAAATGATTTTTTCTATTAACCTTAATGCTGTTGTCTTACTAGAACCTGTTCATCTTTATTTCCTCTGTTGTGGAGTGAGGAGGGAATTTGGAAATACCCTTTGTTCATCTGCCTGTTCTTCCAGTGAGCTGGATAACTTGAAAAATAAGCAACGGACCAACTTCCATTTCAGTGTGTTTCTACATCCAGGCATAATATACAGTATACCTATTTATATATTGTAGTAATTATAAGTGCCATGTGTTGTCGTCATTGTATGTTCCCATACAATGTTTTTTTTTTTTCATTTAGCCTTTATTTATACAGGTTAGTCTCATTGAGCCACGAGAACTCATTTTCAAGAGAGACCTGTTTTAGGGAGCACATGGTGGGGGTTAAGGGCCTTGCTCATGGGCCCAGAGTGGGGCGAATGAGGGTGGGGGCAAGTGTGGGTGTTTCACCTACCCCACCCACAATTTTTGATGTTGTCGGGGCCGGGGCGTGAACCGGCGATCTTCGGATCACAAGCCCACCTCTCTAACCTCTGCGCCACCACTCCCCCAAATTAAATTAAATTAAATTAAATTAGATTAAATTAGATTAAATTAGTTCTTTGCATTTAACCCGTAACACCTGAGATGCATCCAGTGGGCAGCTATGCAAGTGTTTGGGGAGCAATTAGGGATTAGGTGTCTTGCTCAAGGACACCACAACATGTCGGAATGGCTGGGAGTCAAACCATGACTTTCTGGTCCCAAGTCGGCTGCCCTACCTCTACCCCATCTCGGCCCCATAAGGGAGGTCCCTATCAAAAATTGGGTTGCCATGTCAAAATCTGAGATGGCCACCACTGTCAGTGGTTACATATGCATAGCGTTAGCTAGGCCAAGGCCACCACTGGCCACCCCCTGGCTCAGCCATTGCACCGGGTGGTGGGTAAAATTGTTCCCTCCATTCACCAGGGTCCGTCACTCTGCACCACCTCAGTCAAGAAAAATAACAAATACTTTTTATACACAATAAAACGCCTGCCCACGAATATCTTGCACCAGTAACATTAAGGCATTCCCAGTTCAATTCCAGTCCAGAAAAACGCTCATGTTGTAAGCTACAAACGTTCACATCTCCAATCCGTCAGTGACGAGGGAACATCAGCGTCCTCTTGTCACTGCTTTACTGTTGCATGTTGTTTCTCCTTTACGCATGACATGTTGATGTTCCTCTCGTGTTGCATCATCTCCAGGTTTAGAGTTCCTCTCATGTTGCATCATCTCCAGGTTTAGAGTTCCTCTCATGTTGCATCATCTCCAGGTTTAGAGTTCCTCTCATGTTGCATCATCTCCAGGTTTAGAGTTCCTCTCGTGTTGCATCATCTCCAGGTTTAGAGTTCATCTTCTGGTGTCTCAGGATGGAAATGTTGTGGAAAACAAAATGTTCTGCTGCCGGCGCTTTGTGTCAGCCCCAGGCAGCGGCTCAGTGGGCTCTGTCCCGGCTCCGTTCTGTTATTGTCTTCATATGTACGTTTATTTAGTATTACCTGGAAAGCTTTGCTTCCAAACATAATTAGACTGTGATGTGAATCAAAGCAGATATTTGGTGCAAATATTCAGTAGTTTTTTTTTTCTTTGTGTTTTGGCATGATTTGTGTGTTGCCAGGCAACAACCAGCGCAATCCTCATTGTAAGAGCATCTTCCTGCGGCACGACTCGGCTTTTGTTTGTTTGTTTGTGCCCGTTGGTGCGGATGGCCACTTCATGGGGCCCTTGTGAACTTTTCACTTTTTTAGGAAGGCATTTGAGCGCTCTCACATGCCGTAAGCACGAACACAACAAGCCTCCTACTCACACACGTCCACAGATGCTAGCAGCAGCTCATGTGGCACTTGTGGAGGAACTGAAATGGCTCGGGCCTGTGGGGGTGTGAGTTTGTGGAGCTGTGTAGGAGGCTCCTTTGTGCTTTAGGCTTTTGGAGCCATCAGCCCTCACCTCTGCAGGTTCAGGC